TATATCATGAATATGACTTGACTAATGGGTCAATCTTAGGCATCTTACCACACGTACCCCATTCTTATGCTGCGACGATCGAGAAAACGCCCTCGATCGACCTACCTCTACAAAGGCATGTAAAAACCTTCGCATGTGGGTTGGTAGCTCAGCAGGGATACACCTACCTAAGGGTGGTGACAACCCCTTGGGTAGAGGTAAGTTGTACCTCGCGGCACCTCAACCTGTCGTCGGGTATCGTGAAAGGTATAACACACGCGCACGGTTGGAGTGGTGACCGTTTTTTTTCAACATTCTGAAGAAAAATCCTGCGTGACACGACCGTGAGGTTCAGTGCTTCCAGCAAGGTGCGGGACTGCCGCACGCGAGTAACGCGCACACCCTTCTTACACAGGTACTGACGATCCCGACCGTCACGTACCAACCTCCATACCACAGGGATCGTCACCCCACCAACTCAATTTTTGCACCAACTTGCCCAGATGATGCAGTTCGTCGCGGCCACTCGGCGCACAACCTTGCATACACTGCAATTAACTTGTCAGGACTTTCAGACTCGCTACTTGCACATCACCTAGCTACAACTTCCTTGAAGCTGACAAATGGGTTGAGAAAGTTTTTGGGATGCGTTTGCGGGTTTTATAGTTGCGACAAGAGAGATAGAAGATGGGCGGGAATGAGGCGGAGGTAGGAGGGGGTGAGGCAGACTGTTTGGTGATAATGAGATTACGATCCCCATGAGTTTTTCGCAGCCAATCAGATTATGGCGTGAGGGGAATATTGTCCTTACACCTGACGGCTCGAATACCCTTGGGGGGGGGGGATCAGTAGGGAGTTTCTGTATGGGGATAAAGGCGGAAAGAAGAAGAGCGCGAAGAGTAGTGTGGAGCGGGACCAAAATTCAAAAGAAAAAGGAGCGGGAGAGAAGCGCGAAGGAAGAGGGGATGAAATACAATTACGGGTGAAGGAGAGAAGGCACGAAGAGGGGAAGGGTGAAAATGAAATGAGTCATAGCAGGAAGCAGGGAAAACTTGCATGCATGGCACCGGCGCACAAAAGAAAATGACATCGAAAACAGTTACGTTCCATCCATTCTGATTCTAAACTAGTTCAAGATTGAAAGTTAAAAGCAATATTAACATGTGGAATTGAGCGAACAAAAATCCTACGTCTATCTAGCTTCCTACTGGAAATTTATAGATTTTTCAAGGGTGAGTGCGGAAACATCCATTTCCAAGAAAGGACACATCAGCGGGAGACACGTTCATAATTTTCGGAGTTCCCAGCCGCCGAACAAAATTCATAGCGCGCCCGCTAAGGCGTGTGTAGTTCCTACGTAGATGCATGGATTGTCGAAAAGAAATTGCAAAGAAGTCCAAAAGAAACATCGTTTTAGACGCGAGAGGGCCTGGTTGGCCTACCATTCCGTTCATTCAGATGAGCAAAAAGAGGGGTACCCCCAAAGCCCAAGAGAGATCCGAATAGCGAAAACTCAGGGCTTCAGAAGATCATTTGGGTACGGAAGCTGGTACGTCACATGTATATGAGAGTTAGTGTACCACTCGCCGTCCGCCAAGATTTTAAGTGCATCTGGACATCCTGTCCGTTAGGATGCATTACAAAACTTGGTCGATTCCCAAGTGGGAGCGTAGGTGGGGAAGCAAGCGGCCTAGCTCAACTGTTAGGCACGCAAGCGGCATTCAGGAGGTCGTCAGTTCAATCCCCGCTGACCCTATTGGGCACCTTTCATGCCAACCAACTCAGATAGTAGTTGACCATCACGAGTGTTCGCAGCCTGTCAGAGATGCGCTTCCCCCCCCTGAGACATTCAACGTTCAACGTCAATTTCAACATCGGTGGTCGTCGGGAGGGTGGACATTTGAGGTTTTGGGGCCTTGCAAGGGCCAGGAACGCGTAGGACCGGTAGCTGCGAGTAGGAGGCCGAGGAGGCCGCAGTCCTTTGTCGAAATTGAAACGGTGCGGGTAGTCCTTTTTCGAAATTGAAACGGTGCAGGTCCTACACGTTGTATTCGACTACAATCTGTACCCTTTCTATTCGGATTTCAAAAAGAAAACCTCTTGTATTCCGATAAAATTACTTCTTCTTTTTGTTGGAGGTCAGCGC